CCTGGGTGTTGGAGAGCAGGAAATATTTAGCAAACAGTGCTACTAATGACTATCATATCTCATTTCTTGATTTTGAACTTTTGTGATTTAAATAACAAAATGCAGTTTTGTTCATAACCTTTCTTACAAAATGCAACTGTCCTCACAATAGCTCCGATGAGAAAGTGATGCTTAGTGAAATTAAATACTTGAATAAGTATTTCAAGTAGAATAATCGTCAAATAATCAGAGATGGAGATGGAAAGATAATTCAAATCTCTGTACCACTGCTACTAATCGAAGTTTATTTGTTCCATGTTAGTGGGGATAAATTATGCAGGGTTGGCAGGAAGCAACAATCATATTTTAAAATAAAATCATTGCTGTAAGTTTAATTGGGTCTGAGGTCGAGATTGAAAAATTCTTTTTTTTTTTTTTTTTTTGAGACAGAGTCTCACTGTGTTGCCCGGGCTACAGTGCCGTGGCGTCAGCCTAGCTCACGGCAACCTCAAACTCCTGGGCTCAAGCGATCCTCCTGCCGCAGCCTCCTGAGTAGCTGGGATTACAGGCATGCGCCACCATGCCCGGCTAATTTTTTTTTTCTATATATTTTTAGTTGTCCAATTAATTTCTTTCTATTTTTAGTAGAGACGGGGTCTCGCTCTTGCTCAGGCTGGTTTCGAACTCCTGAGCTCAAACAATCCGCCCGCCTCGGCCTCCCAGGGTGCTGGGATTACAGGCGTGAGCCACCGCGCCCGGCCGAAAAATTCTTTATGTCAGTGTTTTGGCAATTATCCTGGTGACACAAGGAAGGGACATCTGGGCTGGCACTTTAGGACAGAACAGCCTGAACTATGGAAAAGTACATCCTAGTGTCCCAAGACCATGTTTTCGGCATGAGGCCAAAAGTAGCATACAGATACTTACCCGAAGAATTGCTGATTCTGAGTAAACAAAAAATATTCATCTCTAATTTTTTAACAAGAAACAAATTAATTATTCACTAGTGAATATTAATACAATTATCAATTCATTATTGCACAGCTTTTGGTTCCCAGAAGGACTGGAAACTAATCAGGAAAATAGGTAGAACTCTAGTGGTTCATTAGCCTAAACCTTAAATGGCTCACTCAAGCTCATAGGTCCTCACTTTTTATTTTATAAGACCCCACACCACCCACCTGTCGAAAGTCCTCTGATCTGTTTTGGGTATGATTTCCTCATAGCCACTGGTTTTTAGCAAATGGTTCAATTCTGTAAAATATAAACTGTGCTGGGTGTGGTGAAACACAGCTGTGGTCGTAGCTACTCCAGTAAGGCAGGAGGATCACTTGAACCCAGGAGTTCAAGACTGTAGGGTGCTATCATCATGCCTGTGAATGATCGCTGCACTCCAGCCTGGGCAACACTGGGAGACTCTGTCTCTAAAAAAAATAATAATAATTAATTAAATAAAATATAAACTGAAAAAAGAAAGAGCTCAACTCAGTGAAAGTATGGTGTGCTCTATCCGCTTGATTCTTTTGGACATTATGCAGTGATCTGTCATTCCAATTCAGTCCCATGGTGAATTCTTTTTGTAGTTTATTTAGCTATGTTCCAGAAATTCAAAAAGCAGAAGTATATAATTCAAAAGAAGTAAACTGCTGACTTTATTCTTAATGAGCAATGGTAGGGTGTGAAATGGGATGGTTTTCAAAGGTAATTCCAAGGACTGTATTAGTATCAAAGATATTCTTCAGGACAGCCTAACTGGCTTTGTTTATCATATGAGTGTGGATTATAATCTATTATAGTAAAAGGATGTGGCAATGTCACCATGTTCTCAGATACTGGGCATGCAGTTTGCAAGTGCTTATAAAGAAGGTCAAAGCTTCAAGGATAATTCAAAATACTTCACATGTCAACAGTTCCTTGTTGTTGCCAAAAACTCTTATGTTTATGAAAGTCATTCATTATCTGCACCAGACTTTGGTCCAAATGCCTGAGATACTAGAGTACATGGTACTACCTTCTGAATGAATGGATTTTAAAAAAAAAACTTAATTGTAACTCAGCTACCAAAATATTCCATCAAAAGAAAAGGCCATCACCAAAAGATATGTACTAGAATGTTCATTGTAGCACTATCTATAATAGCTCCAAATTGCAAACTAATGTCCATCAGAAGAATGAATTCATAAATTATGGCATATTCACAGAATGGAAAAAAAAGTATGATCCACAAGTATGCACAACAATATGGAAGAATATCACAAGTGTTAACGGCGAGCTAAAGAAGCCAAACACAAAAGAATGCATACTTTATGATTTTATATATACCAAGTAGAGGCCGGGCACAGTGGCTCACGCCTGTAATCCTAGCACTCTGGGAGGCCGAGGCAGGTGGATTGTTTGAGCTCAGGAGTTCGAGACCAGCCTGAGCAAGAGCGAGACTCCATCTCTATTAAAAATAGAAAGAAATTAGCTGGACAACTAAAAATATATAGAAAAAATTAGCAGAGCATGGTGGTACATGCCTGTAGTCCCAGCTACTCTGGAGGCTGAAGCAGAGGATCGCTTGAGCCCAGGAGTTTGAGGTTGCTGTGAGCTAGGCTGATGCCACAGCACTCTAGCCTGGGCAACAGAGTGAGACTCTGTCTCAAAA